TGTCACGCCAGTTCTCGATTGTTTAATATTTTGACACATTCTCACGGCCAGTTGATCCTTATGACGTTTTAAAAATGTTTCAACAAAGTCATGGCCTGGGAGGTTATGTTTAAACCTCTTAACTTTTTCCCTATTCGGTCAAAGAAGTCTTTTATAAGAAGTCGTAGAGTTGTAATGTCAATTGGATAGCCCCATTCGCCACATATCTTCAGCCTTTCAACAAACAGTTGTTCTTCTTCGAGAGATAAAGCTGTCTGACCACCATGTTTCTTTATATAGGACCTTTTTTCAAGTTTCGATGTATAATACTATAATGCAAACCATGTTTTTCAGCAGACTTTCAAAGACTGAGACCCTTCTGTATGTCAGAAATTGCCTTTTCGATTTTTTTTGGATTGTGCTTTTTGTAGCTTCCTGTAACCACTGGTTTGTAGTATCTTGGCATTTTACAGGGTCCTGAAACTAAACAGCTGTGTCAGTTAAATGTCTAACATAAATATATAGCACACAGTATCAATTTTATACAGTATAAACGTAATTTAGTATTAAATTTTTTTTGTGGTGTGTATAGAAACACTAGAAATTATGTGTTTTTATTCACCCCATAAATTCAGAAAACCTAACTTAAAAAAATAAGAATAATTATTGAAATAATATTGTTAAAGTTAAAGCTTAAAGTTAGCTTGAAACTTTTATATGAATAATTAAACTATGTTTTGTACAGCTATTTACTTTCAAGAACACTAAGTATTCCGACTTAGCTGGAAAGTTCAAAGTAGATAAAAAAAAACACAAAAATCGCGCGGTAAAATTCAACACAAAAAACAAACAAGAACCAGTGCTGCCAACCATGCAAACCATTATGTCACTTTCAGGTTAAAGTGTAGCAACTTAAAAAAAATAATAGTTGCCACTATTCACCCATAGTTATGTAGAAATTAGATTATATATATAAAAATGAAGTTTCGTTTCTATTCACCTCACTGTTGCTATTCACCCCGATTTACGGTATATATATATACATATATATATATATATATATATATATATATATATATATATATATGTATGTTTGTATGTATGTATACTTATGTATGTATGTATGTATGTATGTATGTATGTATGTATGTATGTATGTATGTATGTATGTATGTATGTATGTATGTATGTATGTATGTATGTATATATATACAGGCCACAGCTCTTGTCCACACTCCCCTAAATTTATGTAAATTGCTCCCATA